TCGACAATTTATGGTCGAGTGTGATGCATCCGGTACCGGCATTGGGGCGGTGCTCATGCAGGAACGACGGCCCATTGCATATTTCAGCAAATCCTTGGCAGATAGAACCCTTTCCAAATAAGCTTATGAAAGGGAAATGATGGGGCTGGCCTTAGCCGTTCAACACTGGCGACCGTATTTGATTGGACGACAGTTTGTGGTTCGTACGGATCATCGCAGCCTCAAACACCTGCTGACTCAGCGAATAGCAACTCCAGCACAACAGGTTTGGGTGGCGAAGTTATTGGGGTGTGATTTCGTGATTGAGTACAAGACAGGCATCTCCAATGGAGCGGCTGACGCTCTATCGAGAAGGGGGGAGGAAGCTGCATTGGCCGCAATAAGCGGCCCTGAATGGCTAGGAATGGCGGATGTGGAGGAAGAGCAAAAAAGGGACAAATTCTTGCAAGGGACTGTTCAAGCCCTGGTTATCGATCCAACTTGTAAGCCAGGCTATGAACTGATTGGAGGACGGTTGTTTTACAAAGACCGTTTAGTGTTGGCTTCAGATTCCAAGTGGATTCCTATCTTGTTGAAGGAATTTCATGACACACCGACAGGAGGGCATGCTGGAGCTTACCGCACCTATAGAAGGTTGGCCATGAATGTATTCTGGAGGGGGATGTTTCGCCGGGTGCAAGACTATGTGGCCCAGTGTTTGGTTTGCCAGAAGAACAAGTACGAAGCTATGTCACCAGCAGGATTGTTGCAACCACTACCCATTCCAGATCTGATTTGGGAAGATATTTCAATGGACTTCATTTGGGATGTATACAACGGTTCTCGTGGTAGTGGACAGGCTGTCCAAGTATGGACATTTTATAGCTCTTAAGGCTCCTATTACGGCACGATTAGTGGCAGAGGCTTTTTCTAAAGAAGTCGTTCGGTTGCATGGCATTCCACGATCTATTGTCAGTGATCGTGATTCCTTGTTTATCTCTGCGTTCTGGAAGGAACTGTTTGCACTTTCAGGAACACAACTGAAATTTAGTTCGGCTTATCACCCGGAAACGGATGGCCAAACGGAGGTATTGAATCGTGTTTTGGAGACATACTTGCGCTGTTTTACTTGTGAGCAGCCGAAACAGTGGTTCAGGTGGCTACCATGGGCTGAATACTGGTATAACACTGCATTCCAAACAGCAGCCAGGGTTTCTCCATTCGAAGTTGTGTACGGGAGACCACCACCGTCTATACGGAGATTTCTGCCCGGCGAGAGCAAAGTGGCTGCAGTGGCAGATGTGTTAGGGAGTCGAGACACCATGTTGGGATGTTTAAAAGAGAATTTAGCAAGGGCACAACAGCGAATGGTTGCACAGGCTAATAAACATCGCCGGGAGATCAATTTCCAGGTTGGGGACAAGGTGTTTTTGAAGGTGAGACCTCATCGACAGTCTACAGTGTTCCGTCAACCTTACCATAAGTTATCATCCAAGTTCTATGGGCCATTTTTGGTTGAGGCACGAGTGGGGGCAACGGCTTACCGATTGGCGTTGCCTTCCACCAGCCGCATACACCCTGTGTTTCATGTATCCCAACTACGACGGGTGGTGGGCGATCACCCAATAGAGAATAAGCTGCCAGAAAGTTTGGAACTACCGGTGGGGCCAGAGTTTGAACCGGACGAAATATTGGCTCAGAGGGCAGGAGGCGAGGATGGGGCAGCTGAGGAGGAACTGTTGGTCAAATGGGTGGGACAATCTATTGATGATGCTACTTGGATGAGGAAAGACACGTTCAAGAGCCAGTTTCCAGATTTCAACCTTGAGGACAAGGTTGTTTCGAAGGAGGATGGAGTTGATAGACAGCAGCAACTTGAATTGGAGGAGGAGAGACCGAGATCATTGCTGGTCTACCGAAGGCGGGGACGGGCTTGAGCCCACCTCCGTGGGCTGGGTTTCTTTTTAATAAACTTTTAATTTATTAATTATTTTGTTTCTTTATTGGGCCTGGGGGGTATTTAATTTATTAATTATTATGTTGTTTCTTTATTGGGCCTGGGGAGTATTTTAATAAGGATTATGTATTCCGTAATTAGGGTATTTATATCCCTAATTAGGGTATTTAATAAGGAATTTATGTTTTCATCATATACTCCCTCCGTCACATGGATTAATAAAGTAAAAATTGTGGTTGAAATTTGTGCAGAGGAGAGAGAATCGATTTAGCCTCATATTCCTTACTTTAAATGGAAATGGCAAATCTTTTTGGAACATCCAAAAAAAGAGAAAATTTGGCCAATCTTTTTCGGCCATGTTGAATGCATAATATTGCAACTATTTGGCCGTCATGAGTAAAAGATGACGGTAACTACTATCATGTTACTCCTATTTTGGGAAGATAAACATAACAGCCTTATTTGGAATTTATAATCCTATTTAGTTCTATTTTGGGAAATCTCCCAAAACCTTAAAGTGACATAACTGTAATCATCTTAAATATGCCAAGGAACTGGTGCATCAGAAGCCCAACAAATAAAACAACTAATCACATATAACCACAAACATGTACACTTACCAATAATTCCACATGAAACCCCTCACGAGTACATGTTACTATCTATTTTAAAAGCAATCAGACTGACTTATTTCTTTTGTTAAAAGTTTGAAACATCAACTCAAAATATTGAAATAAGTGTGGCACCTTGATAATGTCTTCAGGTAAGCACTTTTGTTATATCTTTAATTAAAGGTTGAAATTGTAACTTGGAAATTTCCAAGTCAAAATATCCCTCTTCTTTTTTAAAACAACAATTCAAAGTCAGATGCCTCTCAGCTAGTCCAGGAGCTTAAAAGATAAACCCTAATTCGAGGCTCTACTCCTACAAATTCCAACATTGAAACTTTAAGAATTCGATTGTGCAACTGTCCAAAAATGGACAGATAAACCAAATGATTCACAAACCCAAAAAGGCATCCGTAAATTGGTGATCCAAAGCTCGGAATAGTGCTCTTGTAAATGGAGAATATGACATTTTGGAAAAAGAAAGAAGAAAAGAGCAATAGGAGGAATGTAACCAGCTTTTCTAAGGGTTTAAGTAAGGGAATGTGTATACACACACACAAGGTTTAGTCTTTAAAAAATGTCAGTCAGGCCAATTAACTTATTTGGGTCTCTAATGATCCTAAAAAATTGTTTTGACCCAACTTAAAAGCATTCACCCTTTTCAGAGAAGACCGATAAACAATACTACCTCCATCCCTTAAAACTTTGCCAAAGTTGACCGGCACGGAGAATAATAAAGTAAAAACTGTGTGGTTGAGATTTGTGCATAGGAGAGAGAAATAACAGAAACCACAAAATAATTAATTAAAAGGGAAAGTGGTAAAATTTTTTGGGACATCCTAAAAAGGAAAGATGACAATGTTTTCAGGGACAGAGGGAGAATAAAAATATACGCAGTATATTTAATCATTTTAAATTACGTGTCAACGTTAATGGCCATAAGCAAATTATGATGAAATAATAAATCACTTCATTCATGAAAGTGGCTTAATTAACTCATTAACAAAATGTAGTGATTAATATTAATATATCATGCTAAAATATATCATGCTATATTTATACTTTCAAAGCATGTTTTAGATTTAAATTTAAGAAGTGTTGAAGTGCTGAACAGGTGTAGCGCTGAAGTGCAAGCTTCTAGTGCCTAGGTTGCGAAAGGCTTTTTGAGCTATTTTTCATTTTGCAAATAAAGTTTGGGCCTACTGTAACAAAACATATTTAAACTAGCTATATTTCATACAAATAATAGGGCAACAACAACATAATCCCATAATCATGCAAAAATAGGTTAAGGCAAGGTAGTCAAATGGTGTAGAACCTATCTTAAATTAATTTTTAGTCTTATTTTTACGTAATTACTTCTGAATTTATTTATTTTTGTTGTGAATCATGACTTTGTTTTAGTGAAACATTTTTTAATGCATTTCATTCAATATGATGTTAAATATATTCTGCTTGATCATTCTAGAATAGTACACAACTACACATAATAATTTCTTTATAGTGTGCTTCACATCAGTACGTCAAATGCTTCTTAGCACCTTGCATCTCAGGCACTCAAGTACTCTGGAGCGCATTGAATGCACCTCGTGACTTTGACTGCCTTATGAAAAGATAAAGTTGTACGTAAGCAATCGCAACATTATTGGAATGCATGTTCGGCAATACTAATTGATTGACAAATTCCAACTTTCCAACAAATCTGCATGCCAACATATCTTAGTACTTTACAGCCTTAAAAAGCAACTTGTATCCTTGGAATAAAACAAGAACCGCTATTGGACAAAACATGCCCACTTGAGAATATTTTTCTTATACTTCCTCGGTTTTTTGTTGATTTGTTGTGTTTCTAGTACACCTTTGGTATTGTATATCATTTTCTTACGTTTTCTACATTTTGGCCATACGTGTGGTTAGATAGGGGTACCCTATTACAAGAGAATTCCAGCATGACAGAGAAAAGCATTTCCAGATGCAGGGAAAATAACCTGAAATCATAATCAGAAGACTTACTTTACATTAGAGCACGTTTGCTCTCAGTGCTATGTCTTTTGTTTCTTAGGCTCTAGTTCTTCGGATGAAGGAAAGTGTCTTTCATATTTATTGGCCCACACTTCTCTAAATGATTCAGCCTAATTCAATGAAAACACTTGGTTGTTTAAAAATAGCAAAAATAGGAGGTGATGACGCTATATGACTTCAGCAAACCTGATCGAGTAACGAATCAAGAGTTTCTCCCAATACACTTGGCATGTGTTTCTCTCTATCCATATAGCACGGGGAGGGAGAGATCTATACAAACACCCTTAGGGTTAGGTGCAATGAAAATGGCAAGAAATAAAATACTTATTTTGCTAAAAAAAGAGAGCAACATATTATCTGTTCAGATTGTTTGTGAAACCTCTCTCTAATAACATCCATGTCACGGTAAGTCCCCCCCAGATTGCTTCCATAGCGTCTTCAACCAAGTATCGATACTTTCAGCTTACTCCTCTCCCAGCAAGCGTTTCAAATTCTAGGTACATATCTTGAAATGGCAACTCTTTAAAAACCTATTATAGAGACATAGTAAACACTCTAATCAGAGAAACATCATGAACAAAGAATGATTGAATAAAAATAGTCAGGTATACTAATTAATCCAACCAAGGTCACAGTGTGTAGGCAAGGTGCGGCGCCAACAAGCCACCTTGGCACCTAGGTGACATCTAGGTATCAAGGAGCCATGTGCAATATATGAATATAATATATTACATCGATATATAATATAACATAATATGATATATAGTACGTAAATTGCAAAATCCTTGTATCTAAACTCGAAACAAGATTCCCATATCTTTTTCTAATACATTAAACTACAAAATTTTAGCAAAAAAAGGAGTGATTAACCCAAGGCACAAGACGAAGGCGCACGTCTCACGGAAACAATATAACTTTAGTAAAATATGTTTTATGATCCTACATGAAGGAGTCATCCCAAAAATGATAACACCACAATACCTCAAGCAATGAAACAAGCTTACTGAACACCAAAATCAGTCGCAAGAGAAACAGAGAATTTTTTAAAAATTTATAACAATCCTTTAATAAAATATTGTATAATCAATTCTTAATAATTATGAACTGTCACATATAACTGTAATATACTTCCTCCGTTCTTATATAAATGCAACACTTTACTTTTTTGTAAGTTTCAAAATAAATGCAACATTACCTTTTTAGGTTAAAATGTCAGCCAGTAAATACTAGAGTACCCTTTGCACCCATGTGATGTATTCTTACCCCAAATTAAATACCCTTATCCTGCCAGCCCTTCATCTTTCTCATATACTTCTTCTCTTTCTTAAATTAGTTGCCCCTCTCTGTCACCCAGTCTCCTCTTCCATGCTTATCCATTTTTTTCATTCCTTTCTCAGTGCCATATTCTTTTAACCGTATTTCCACTTTTTTGTTTCAACTTACATTTCAGTCATTCTTCTTCTTCCATTTCTTTCTACCATTTCCATTCCAACTATTTTTTGTTCGTACAGCGGTAGAAAATCTAACAGCCAAATCTGTTGACTCCGTCTGCACTTCTCATGATTCCCCATGTGATATGCTAAAAACGTTATAATTTCGGAGACCAACCTCGGATGAACTCGATTATGGGTAAAATTGGAGAATTAGAAATTGGCAATAACGAAGTATCAGAATGAATAATCAAAAGGGTCTTAGTTGACTGAAAGTCTAGAATGGAAATGGAGTAAAACTAGAATCACAAAAGCAACAGTTACTGTAATATTTGGTCTAGAATAAGAGGTGCCATAATATTTTGTCTTTATATCCAAAGGTGTAGAAGAAAGTCAAAGTCATGAGGCGCACTCAAGGCGATAGTGAACTGCATCGCCTCAGGCGCAAGGGGCAAAAAGCGTTCACCTGACTCATGTAAGGCACATTTCTTAGAAAATATAACATATACTATTATGTAATTATCAAACATGATGTAGTAACATCATATTGAACAAACTGCATTAAAAAGTCATGTTTCTAAAAAATTAATTCATGATTAACCAAAATAAAGTCATGCATTTGCATCATTTTCATTAGCCAAGTAATTGTGTTTTTAAGATCAGACTGTTTTTGCTGATTTGGCAGCTTCAAGACCCGTGGCTGAAGATCCACGTTCATGACACTATTCAATGATTAAACTATACGAAGTGTACATGAACGAAAATATTATATAAGAAGAAGAAACAGACTTACACATGATAGAATGATAGTATACATATATATATGTTTGAGTTCTATAGAGTATTTAAGAAAAAGTACATGATGGAAAAATAAAGATAATAGAATGATGGAGATGAGAGAGTTACACAAGATAGACTAGTAGTATAAATATAAATGCTTGATTTGTATATAGTGTATAAGAAGAATGAGATGCTGAAAAAAGAATGAGATGCTTGATTTGAGTTCTATAGAGTATTTAAGAAAAAGTACATGATGGAAAAATAAAGATAATAGAATGATGGAGATGAGAGAGTAACACAAGATAGACTAGTAGTATAAATATAAACGCTTGATTTGTATATAGTGTATAAGAAGAATGAGATGCTGAAAAAAGAAAGAAAGAAAATAGAACAATGAAGAGGGTCGCACATGATAGACCATTATACTGGTAATTTAGGTATATATGTTTGACTTGTGTAGAGTTTAGAAGTAGTAGATGCTGAACAAACAAACAAAACAGAGAAAATGGAATATTGAATGTTTCCAGGTAACATACTAGGTAACGTAATAATGTATAGTGTTGTTTGACTTTTTATTTACATATTTAGATGGGCTTTATCATATTAAAAATAGTCTTCTTAAAAATAATCTGAAACTTAAAGATTATGCTTAAACGCATGTTTCCACATCGGGCGAGAAAAGCGAGCGGTTTTAAGCGATTCCGCGCTTCAGTGCCTAACCTGCGCCTTACACAGGGAGCTGCACCTGGCTGTTGTTCAGTAATTTTAAAAATTAGTTACATAACAAACTCTTAATAATATTCTTTGAACACCATCATCATCATCATTACCCCATCGCCGCAGAGGCTCCCACCTACGGTGGGGTAGGGGGGCAGATGTACAAAAGCCTTGTCCCTGTGCTAAAACAGGGTGAGACTGTTTACGGTTGACCAATAGTGAAAATCACATTGAAATTTGCATGAACTGACATCTACTTCATATCAAAGAAGCACGGACAGTTTAGTGTGCCATTTTACTTTATTCCATCATATTCCCAAGCCAATAAATTGTGAATCTTTGACTCCATTGCAAATGATAAAAATAATATTAATAGTAATTGTTTTAATGAACTGTTATCTAATAAGTTGTTTTTTGTTAATAATAATGAACTGTCATATACAACTGTTATATAGTAAACTATAAAATAAAACACAGTTTATAGTAGTTTATTGAATACTTTATTATAAATAAAAGGTTAATACTAATTTTTAATAAGAAGTAGTATTAACTTTTATAGTAGAAAATTAAATAATTAATAGTATTTTCTTAATAAAAAGTTATATAATAAATTGTAATTATAATAAATTGTCATACAGAACTATTATGTATTAAAGTACCATATAACACACCATTAATTTTATTTTTTTATTCACTGTTAAAAGTAAAAAATTAAGCAATCTAATGGTAGAAACCATCTTTTTTGTTACACCCTCTTATCCCTTTTTATTTAGTCAAATTTGACTTTTCAAGTCAATGATATTAAACTTTGACTTATTATATATTTATACACAGTAGTATTGATGATATGAAAATGATAAGAAAATGTTTTTTGTTAAAAATACCTATAAAAGTATAAATTTACTAAGTTTCGCATAAATATATTAGTTAAATAACGTATCAAAGTTTACCATCTGACTAGAAAAGTCGAAGATGGCTAACTAAAAAGGACAGAGGTAGTATTATTTTAAATTGATAAACGATCTAATTTGGTTTACGACTTACAGCAGATTGCTAATCCGTTAGATATGGATATATATTATTTTAATAATTAAAACTATTTGGTAAATTTCAAAACTTAAGATAAAAAGAGAACAAAGAGTAAAAGGAAACAAATACTTAATACTTCGTAATAAAGCTGCGACACTGCAACTTAAGGAGAGAGAAGCAGAAGAATAGGGATGAGCGGAAGAATAGAGGAGGAGAATCACCAATGGTTTCTCAGGGATAAGTCTACAATTGACACCCATCCCAGAGGCGCCAGAGGCGAACGCCTCACAAGCACAAAATGTGGGGGTTTGGGGTGCGCCTTTGAGTAACTACTGCACCCTGGACTCTTATATGTGATTTTCCAACACCTAACTAGGCCTTGTGCTTTTACGTGACTTAAACTAAGGTGCATACAAACAAAAAAGATAATGAAGGTGTTAAGTAAAAGATAAATAAAGTAATTAAAATAAAGAAACGTATATAGAGAGAAGACAAGAAAGAAGATGGAAACTTGGCAGTTGGACTGCCTCGTCCAAATCGATTTGGCAAAACATCTATCATGGGCTCCCTACGAATGCCTAGTTGATACCTCAGTAATATTTAACACTCTTCAGGCAAGGCGACCAGGCGTGGGGAGCGCGCGCTCTGCCGCCTGGGCGCCGCCTAAGTGTGTCCTAGTCGACACCTAGGCGACGATGCTCAAAGCAGAGAGACAACATAAGCAAAAATGGAAACAAAAAATTAATCACAAGTATATTTTCTAGCCTTTATTTGCTTGTCCAAGTGCCTCTTAGAGATTGAAAGGTTCAGAGACATTTCTCCTTCTTCAGCGGACTTTCCATCTTGATTTTCAGGCTCATTCATCTTACTGAGAATGTTAAGCACAACATCCTCAAATTTGGTGAATAGGAAGCACTTAAACTGTCAAAAGAAAAGCCATAAAAGAACATGTATCATTATAAGATAGATTTAGAGTCAGGCAAAGTTACAAAAGCAATAAAATGATATAATGGTTGGATGTAAGTTTCAGATGCATCATTTAAAGCGACTTCTATTTCTTAAATATAACAAAAGTGCTGGTAAGCATTAATTACAAACACTTTTGAGGGTTTTTACCACAATATGCTATAAAAAAGTACTAGGTATTTATTCGGAACAAACAAAATAAAAAGATATATTTTTTGGCGAATATCTCTCTTCAATAGATTTCATTGCACGCTCTGGTTGCAAAAGCTGATGATTGAAGAGACTAAATGATATCAGAAGACTTTCTATATGTGTATCTAGAATATAACCAAACCTCTATAATCTAATGCCTTACCATAGAACTTATTTTCTCATTAAGATGATTGGGTTTATCATCATGACCCTCGCATTCATCTGGAAGCACAAATTGATTCAGTCTCTCTTGATTTAGTAAGATAGTACAAATTTGACTGAATACATCTCTTATATCCTCTTCAGATTTACTTCTTGTGAGCGGGACCCCAGACTTCTGAAACAAATATATCATAAAGCATATTACAGGGAACAAAACTTCTCACTTCAAAATTACACTGAGGACGACAGTGAAGTCACTCACCTCGTGTAGACTTTTACGGCTACGTTGAAGACAAGCCCATGTCTCTGTTGTCCGCACGAAGGCAGGTATAATATTCGTAAAGTCTTCGATATCATAAAACACTTGTATATAAAGTTTCTGTTTACAAATAAATAATGAACAAATCATAAATAAATAAATAAATAAATAAATAAATAAATAAATAAATAAATTATCAAATAAATAAATAAATAAATAAATAAATAAATAAATAAATAAATAAATGAGCGTGGATATTGTGCGTGCTTTTTCTACGTACCCGGATTCGGTCATGTTTAGATTTGAGATCGATCTCAAATTCCATAAGGGCCTTTGTCTTCTCCGAACATTCGTTGCAGGGACAGACCTTGGAAAAATCATATTCGGGTAACTCTATTGCTGGCACTTCCATCGTTATAGTACGCTGCATTCTTCTCCGAACATTCGTTGCAGGGACAGACCTTGGAAAAATCATATTCGGGTAACTCTATTTCTGGATGATGAGGGGAAGGAGATGGATTGAATGTTTGATGGGTGTCCGGATGGGCCATATATATCATCGTACAAGTCTATGGATGGGCCATGTATGCAACATACGGCTCATGTCTACAAGCCCGCGTTTTGAAAGAGAGATTCTAGGGAAGGTGGGTGTAGTCCAATTAGGGATGGACCCGGGCCGGTCCGGTTCCGGTTCCGGACCGGGCGGGCTTTTTTTGCAAATCCTTGGTCCCGGAACTGGCCCCGGTTGATACCGGGTTCGGGCCTAACCGGGCCGGGCCGGGCCCGGTTCAATGTCTAATTTTTTTTTTGCTTTCTTGTTATCCCCCGACCCCCCCCCTCACCCTCACCCCACCCCCAAACCTCCCCAAAACACCCAGCCCTACCCTCGGAAAAGAAAAAAAAACAAAAAAAAATGACTCGGGCCCGGCTCGAACCGCCCGGGCCGGTTCGCCCAAAACTGGGCCCGAGCCCGGCCCGCCCAACCTGCCCAAACGGGTTAAAATCCCGGAACTGGCCAACCGGTCCCGGTCCGGTCCGGGCCCGCACAGTAGCGGGTCGGGCCGGGCCGGTTTAGTCCATCCCTAAGTCCAATGGATCACCATCCACCCCCACGTTTCTACTTTTTTTTGGATAAAATGTAAATATATATATCCAGAAAAATAGCATAGTACAATGCATCAAAACTATCTAAGCTAGTCTATGCTAGCTATAAATAGTATCCAAACCTTCCCTTACCTCAGAAAAGAAAAATAAACTAGCACGGGACAGGCCCCGACTTAGTATCAAAACAGGCCATCACAAGCACTAAAACAGTTTAAAAGTCCATGAAAAAGCAAATATTCAATAACCTTCGTAGTCTTCTTGTGGCTTCATTGTTATAATAGTTTTCTTTGTTCCATCTCTACACGTTATCATGACCTCGTGAAACATATCCGAGTCCATAGTGTCACTCGATTTTTCACTTGAAGAATCCTCCTCCTCGGAAACCGCAAGATCGGAGTCTTCCACCTCGATGCCTGGGTCGGAAACCTTTTTTTCTGGCAATCTCTCAACAACATGTTTTAAAGGCTGGGCAGCAGGCGTAGGTACAACAGAAACCGCAACAGGAAGCTTGGAAGGCCCCTGAGCATTTTTCTCAGCCACGGCAGTCCCCTGGGCATTTTTTTGTGAAGACCCGGTCGGTTCTGGTCTGTACCCGGGGCGGGTAAGGACAGGCAGCAGCTATTTCGGTCGGGCCAGGGGCATACCCGGTCGGGTTTGACCCCTGGGCAGTTTCTGCCGGGCCAGTAAACTCAATCCCTATTTTTCCATTCTTCTCCAAGCTACAATCTTTCTTTGTTTCTACATCATCCCTCTTGGCTAGCTTCTTACAAATAAAAGGATGATGCCCAAATTCTATGCAATGGAAGCAAAAATTAGGAAAAGTTTCATAAACCACACTTTGTTTAATTACCTTTCGAGATGGTAACCGTATAGGAAAGTGTAGTGTTGGTGGCTTTGAAACATCAACCTCTATCAATACTCTAGCATAATCATTGTTTGCCGTCTCTTGAGTGATTTTGTCCGTGGTTATTGGGATCCCGACCATAGATGTCACCTCACTCATAGCCTCATCATTCCATAAACTCATTGGTAGGTTAGGAAAACTTTATCCAAATTGGTATTTTTAGAAACTCCTCATCCTCAAAAGTGAAATCCTCCGAAAGTTCTTTAAGCATTAGGAGTTTCCCAAACACGGTGTAAGGTCCTTCATGTAGTACCTTGGCTCTATCCTCCTCACTTTGGAACTTAAAAATTAACCAACCTTTATTATGAGACCTTACTAGGCATTTAACTCCCCATGTAGCTTTCATAGCGTGAACCGCTTTGAGTCCGGGGAATTTTCCCGTGAAGTGTCCCACTAGACAATGGCCCCACATCTCAACCATCGAGGGTAGTATGCGGTCACCAAAATCCAATGTTTCGCCTTTAGGTGGAACATATCTCAATTTAATCCCATTTTTTGGATCACGATTATCCTTAAACAATGAGTTCCATGGAGTTTCTGTCACTATTGGATGAACATTTCCAGTTTTCTGTATAGGAATCTTGTTTTGCGCAATCTGTTTAGGATCTGCCATAACTCCCTTATTTCCCCCTGCAGCCTTTACTGCTACTGTAGTAATTGCATTAGCCGTCCCAGCAGCGGTAGTTACTGCTACTGCAGTATCCTTTCCAGTGCAGCTTGGTTGCTTGGGGTTCATAGCAGTGCCATTTGCGTTTGGAGTTTCCACAGGCAGGTCTGCAGCATTAGCCCTCATTTCCCTTTTCTTCTTAGCTGTAATTCCGGCCAACAGTGCCGGAAATTCCTCATCTGAGTCCTGTAAAGCAGCAAAAGAAGACCTGGTATTTCTGGCCTTGCTCAGCGGTTGACAAGGGAGAGGATGGTAATGAAGGTAGCAGTTTCGTGTGGTGGGATGAGCAGCCTGAAAGGTGATGTAAGTCCTGCTGGATTCGTCCTTTGGAGCCAGTACTGATGAGGCTGACTGTGATCAGATCCGGATTTAACTGTCTAAGGGCTTTGGAGGGTAGTTCATAGACTCCAGGATTATGGGAGCGTAAGCCCCGACACCTGGATTATAAAAAAAAAGAAATAAAAAGATCTCTAGTACTGTCCTCACAAACCGTCACTAACCTTTTCCGCGCACTTTGTTCTCACTCGTGAGCACCCTGAGAAACTTCCCAGGGGGTCACCCATCCCAAGACTACTCTCGTGCAAGCACGCTTAACTTTGGAGTTCCTGGCTAATGAGCTCCCTTAAAAGAAGATGTACCTTGTTGGTATGAGTAGTACTATTAATCCTTTTAAAATAATCCAGTGTTACATGCTGCTCATAGGCAAATCGCGCCTTGCTAAAGTAAATAGCGGCTTTGTCAAGGGTACTGAGGCCGCACTCATTGAGATCCACCGGATTCTCATAAACAGTGAAGTCACGAGGAACCCTCAAACCCAGAGTACACCAGATGGAAGAAGCCGTCTGACCAAACAACTTCTTCGACTCCGCACGGGGACCAAGCCCGGAGAATTTAATTATGCCATCGGTGGAGTCTTGCGGCTCGGGGGGTGGAGGGGCACACATCTCCTTCCACACTGAGGTGGTGGGCTGCTTCTTGGATGGGATGACACTTTCATCATCCGATTCATCTAGGACCACCACTGACTTTGAAGACCCCTCCTTGCGACGGGGCTTCTTCACGAGATGATCATCTCCAATATGATCCTCGGCTTTTGGTCTCTTAAGCCCCTGATCATCTCCAGCGGGTGCCTTCCCCTTTTCAACATTAGTTCGGCTCAGGGTCGGTGGGATGACGTCGTGACGAGACATGGCAGGAAGGTGGGAATAGACACATGTATTCAAGAGGAAGAGAAATCACAATGAGAATCACTCCAGGATAACAACGTTCCTAGACTAGCCCTAAACCCTAGAGGCCCAACTGTCTGGGGAACAATATCCTCGAAATAGCCCCAAGGCAGTGACGAGGATCGGCCCTCGAACATGAGTCACAGTGGGTGGTGGCGACGTACTGCTGCTGTATTTGGGACACCTTGTGTCACGCCCCGGACCTACCCGGACACGTCAATAACCTGCCGTATAGCACGAATAGTCAACCGCAGTTCAACACATCCATACTATACGAGGCGTCTGGAATATCATTCACACATAGTACATCCATAAACAAACATAATGTAAAAACATTCAGTAAAGCAGCGGAAACATTAATACAAGTATTCAAGCCACACTTGACATCCTTAGACATGCAAGCCCCCAAATAATTGTTTAGAAAATAATATCCATGAGCATTATTATAATTGTTTTTTAAACAAAAACGGAGGAAGCACGAACCACGTCTTCTCTCCTAGATCTTCCCGAATCCACGGGCCCTGGTAGCAAGCTCAACTCCTACCTCAAACTGTGAGGTGGCCTCTCCAGTGAAGGGGAGGTCAGTACTTGGAAGCATTTGACAAGTACGATGACAACTATACCAAGTATAATCAATGTTTCAATTTCTAAGACCCTCAATCTAGGGTGATATGTATAGGACATAACCCTCGGTTACCCCCTTTTAAAATAACATGCTTACTTTATATGAAGTCAAGTAGTCGGCCCGTGGGCCCATATTCATTTAGCGTTCACCATCTTAATTCCCCGTGACTACAAGTCACGACAAACCCATAGGGTTCCATCGAGCTCCAATTGTATAGTAAGGGCTCGGCCCAACTATATTTCTATACAATCCTTTAACTCGATTTAACACATCGAAATTGTATGGCAAGGGCTCGGCCCAACTACGTTTCCATACCAACCGTAACTTCGTGGCGAGGGCTCGGCCCAACTACATATCCGCGAAGATCACGAATACATGGCAAGGGCTCGGCCCAACTACGTTTCCATGCTAAACACATTACATGGCAAGGGCTCAGTCCAACTACATTTCCATGTAATCCTAGAGTCTGACTCTAATCTATTTCCATAGTCCAATTCTCAAGCAAATACTGTGCCTAGAATCAATTCACTTGGGTAGCCTTTAGGCCTACCCCTAACACACCTTAGTGTTCATACAATTTGGCCCCTAAGTATCTCTTAAGACTACTTAAGGCATCTTTATTCACAATCCTATCTCTTAGGATTAATTCCATCATTTTTTATATAAATCTCCCGACTAGCATTTCAATACTAGTCGGATAATCTTAGAACAACCAAGTTCTTAATTCATAGTCAAATAATTCATCTTAATTGATTTTCCAATCCAAATATGATTTAATCTCAATATAAAAAATATCACTTTTATCCATTCATGAATCCCTTACATGAAGTAAAAGTATATTTTATCACAACATTTTCATAGTTAATTCCATTATCATGCCATTTCTTTCATATCACATAATCATACACAATTTCTCCCAAA